GTCTCATGGACCGGGACAGCTGAGTCCTTTAGTCTGTGGTGACAACCATCCACTCCACCTTGCCCCTCAGGGCAGCTCCGGAGTTCACTTTTCGCCTGTGGTCTTGCGCTAGGGCCTCAGCACCAGGGCCCCTCATCTCTCTTGAGAGCTCCAGGTCCTGATCTACCTAATCTTGGCTCCTTTGTCCCTTCGAGAAGCTTCCTGCAGGTTTGGGTGGGGGTGGGGAGGCCATGCTGACAGTGCCGCCCCCACATATATGAGCGGTCTTGTATTCTGGTATACTAGTGACTTGGTGACCATCTGCTTAGTTTTTTAAGCAAGAGGGTTTTTCCCTCTTTGTTTTTAGAGACAGGGTTTCACTCTGTCACCCAGGCTGGAGTGCAGTGGTGCGATCATAGATCATGGCAAGCTGGAATTCCCAGGCTCAGGCGATCCTCCTGCCTCAGCCTGCTGAGTAGCTAGGACTATAGGCACGTGCCGCCATGCCTGGCTAATTTTTTTATTTTTATTTTTTGTAGAGACAGGGGTCTTGATATGTTGCCCAGGCTGGTCGTGAATTCCTGGCCTTAAGTGATCCTTCCACCTCAGTCTCCCAAAGTGCTGAGGCCACCGCACCTGGCCAGCAAGAATTTTGTAAGGGAGAGTTTTCACAGGGAGATCTCCAAGCTCAGCCACTGTGTCTGGGGAATGCCACCCCTGGCCTCCCTCTCACTTTCTTTAAAAGTCAACCCTGCACCTTAGGGAATAGCTGCGGAGATGAACTATTTGTGCGTTTAATCCTATCAACTTCCTTTTGTATTTCTGCACTGTGGCTGTGTCCTGTGGATGGACAGGACCCCTGAAGGTTGGTGATGGGTAGTGACGTGCTTCTCAACATTCAGGTGCGAGAATGTCACCTTTATCTCCCTAAGTCGTATTATGTCCAACTCAAGCTCTCATTCAGGAAGGTATATGAAAACTTCACTGTGAGTCCGTTTCTGAGGCTCCCTCTTTCCAGAAGATTAAACAAATGCCCCAGGGCTCATCGATGTCCTGAAAGAGGATGCTCACCCCTGGGCCTGGGTCGCCGTTTTGCTGCTGCTTCTGCCTAATGCAGATGCAGCCTCCGGGCTCTGGTCTTTCTCTCTTTAGTGCTCAGACCCCTGGCCCTTCACGTGTGGGTGCAGACTGTCCCCCGACCTGCCCTTTCCAAGCCACCCCCCAGAGGCAGCCTCCACACATATCCACACGTCCCCTCCCCCCCAGCCTGGGGGTCTGCCACTTCCCTGGCCCCCATGGGAACACCTGTCCCCACCCAGTCTCCTCCATCCATGGACTATTCTTGGGACGCAATCCATGGGGTTTTTTTCTATTCCAAACCCCCTGAATTATTACTATTTTACGAGTCTAGGCTTTTAAGAACAAAACACTCAACTTTCCCCTGGGGCAAGGCACACTTCCATTTTCAGGACAAAAAGTCCAACTGCCTTCTTAAGAGGAGGAAGCAGAAAATATCTCTCTTTTTGGGTAGTGAGTCAATAGGAAAGTAAGATGGCTAATTTTGAATCAGACTGTTTCTACCCGTCAGCTGGGTGTCAGGAGCAGGGACACTCAAGTCCAGGAGGCCATTCCATCAGAGGCGAGGGGCGCGGCACCCTTGGGGCCAAGCAGCCCACAGCCTGCTCTGAAGCGCAGCCCTGGTGGAGAACCCCCATCCCAGAACCTGTGCTCGAGCCCCCTGCATGACCAGACTACGGAGGCAGATGTGGGGGTGTCCTCGCAAGACCCGACTACCTGCTCTAGGCCTGATGTGCAGAGCTCAGTGCGGACGAAAAGACGGCGTTAATTTCAAACTCGCCAGATTATGGTTCTACCTGGGTCTAAAAGATTGGTCCCCTCACCTGCCTCAGCTGTTCTCTCAGCCCTCCGCCCTCCTCAGGACAGGTGGGGCCCCATCCTGGGACCTGTCTCAGATGTTGGAAGGACCCTAAATGCTCAGGGACTTGTTAAAGGAAGGAGGGGCCTTATGTGACCACTGTGACCCTCCAGGGACACCCCTTCCCCACCAAGGGAGCCACCCTGCAATCCAGGGATTGTCCACATCCTGTTCCCAAATCCTGGCCACTCCTCCCTGCCGGCCCCATGCAGCACACATCACAGCCAGAGCCTCCCTCGGGCCTTAGTCCAAACCAGTGTCCCTTTTCTCCAGGGGCTCGGAAGCACACCCCGCCTCTTACCCACACGTCCAGCCCTGCACGGCCCAAACGACCCGAGACTGGCAATGGCAGGGAGAACCACAGCCAGGACTCGTGTCCTGTGGACACTTTGTGTCAACCTCTCCCATACCTATCGGGATCACCCTCAAGGGTGCAAACCAAGTTTGGCTCAGAAAGAGCCTGAAATTCTCTCCTCTCCTGAGAATGGGAACGTTGAGGACAGAGCTTCCTCAGCCCAGGTTAGTAACACCGGTAATGACCATGGCCTTTAAGGGAGATTGGGAGCACACGACAATATGACACATGGACACTAACACCTGTGCATGAGGCTGGGCTCGGGAGGGGGCCTTCATGACAGCACCGCTCTGGGTGTGTTAGACCCACGCTTTTCAAACAGCCGGGGTATCTGGGCAGACACTGCGCAGTCCTGCATGGTGATGAGTGTCACAGGACTGCCAGCCGGTCCAACTCAGGCAGCCGGAGGGCTGGAGAGAGATGGTCACAGCCCACAGCGAGGGGGCTTTAGGGGGCCCTCCAGAGGTCCTCCCTAGCACACACATATACATTTCAGTTTTAGGGGGCCACAGATTGCCTGTAGCCCACCCATGAGCAGCAGTATAAGGACTCCTGGTTACGGGCTGAAGCTCTACCCAGATGGCTTATTGAGTCCACTGCATTTTTGCCAGTGACGCGTGCACAGGCCATTGGAGGTCTGTTTTCCACCTGTCTCATCAGAGCCCCAAACTGAGATTATGGGTGACTTTTATCTGCGACCAGACTTAAATACCACGACTCAGACAGCATGAGAGCCAGTCTGGCCACAGCGCTCAAGAATTAAACGCTGTGATATTCAGCAAGAACTTTGACCTTTCTGCAAGCAAGAATACATCAACTAAAAGAGGCCTTTAAGCTATTGTTAATTTTAAGGAGATCTTTGCAATGATGGTTGAGAAAACCTCTTTCAAAAGCCGAAGGGGCAACCTCAGCAGGGCTGTGACGGCCCCTTCACACTGACCCGTCTGCCCTGCCGACTACATGCCTGAGTTTCTCTGGCCTCTAAGACCTCCTTCCCCTTCATGGTCTGGGGACACATCAGTAAGAGACCATTTGGCTGTTTGTCTGTCTTAGAGATTTTATTGGTTACCTGCAGTTCAGACGCGATCTCCATCCAAACTTGATGCAGAAGGAAAAGTTTTCTTGTGGGTGCCATAAGCCGAACTTCCGTTCTCTCCAACATTCCTCTTCTCTGGTCACCAGGGCAATGGGTAGACCATGAGGATTTCAGTGCAGTCTTGTCTGGGGAAATCTTACTTTTAACCCCTCCCCCCTAATTCATATGTTGCAGTCCTAACCCTCAGCACCTCAGAATGTGACCTTATCTGGACACAGTGTTGCAGATGTAACTACATAAGGTGAGGTCGTTTGGGTGGGCCCTAATCCAATATGACTTCGTCCTTATAAAAAAAGGAAACTGGACACAGACGTGCACACGGGGCGAATGCAATGTGAAGATGAAGACAGAGATCCCAGTGATGCTTCTACAAGCCGAGGAACACCACAGATTGCCCGCAAATGGCCAGAAGCTGGTGGCGAGGCAGGGAACAGCGTCTCCCGCACAGCCCCCAGAGGGAACCAACCCTGCCGACGCTTCGATCTCGGACTTCCAGCCTCCAGAACTGTGAGACAACACATTTCTGTTGTTGAAGGCACTCAGTTTGTGGTACTTGTCCACGCAGCCCTAGGAAATGAGCACCCTTACCCAGTCCTTTGCAGGCCACGAGGAAGCACATCCCTGTCCCATTTCACACACCAAAATGTGCTAAACTATCCAGGTTTTACAGACCAGATGGAGAAGCCATAACCCCACCTCTGCCCCCGCCTTAATCTTTGTCCACCGGGACTGTCATGCCCTTCCAGGCTCGAAGTACATTTGAGTATCTGAGGTATTCCGGGAACGAGGGAAACGAGGGCGGGCTGTCCGCAGCCTGGCTGAGGAATGAGGCCGCACACAGCAGAAGGGTGGCAAATACACATCTTCTGCCCTTATAGACTTTTCTGACCTTATAGCCAACAGCAGGCTTCTCCAGGAGTATTGACCCTGCCCAGCAGCGCCCCCTGATGGAGATCACGAGCCCTGGAAAATGTTTGCCCTCGGGCTAGTCCACTGAGCACCTGACAGGAATTTCTCCTGTGGGAGGACAGGGGCCAGTTGGGGCCCACAGAGGCCGAAGAGTCCGTGGCTAAGGCTCCATTAAAGAGCGTTTTCTCGGAGGAGCGCCCCCTAAGTCCCCAAGGGCTGCAGATGGCCCTATCTGTGCCTTTGTGAAAGTGAAGAAAAGGGAGTCCTTGTGGGCAGGCACAGCCTGGCGGGGCTCCCGGCCCTGCTCAGGGAGAGCAGGTGAGATGCAAAAGTGCACCTCTTCCTCCTGGCAGACATAGTCCCGTGCCAGGGGTCACAGCTTCGACGTCAGATAAGGGCTGAATTCCAGATCCCAAGGACCGCCCAGATGCTTTTGTGCAGTGTGCAACTTGCACAAACATACGTGGCAGCTCTGATTGCTCCTTCTGTCCTGAGTGCATCTGCTTCTGTTAATGCACTTATCTCACGTGGGTGGGGAATTTGTCCTCTTGCCCAGGAATGTTAGCTAAGGCCCAAAGCTGTGGATAATGCTACGTACCCCACATTCTAAGTCTGAGGAACCCCAGCAGTCAGGCTAGGCATCTCTTCAGGGCTACTCTCTCCCACCCCCAGTGGGAGGAAAGGGGGTCATCTGCCTGCGGGAGTGTAGTGTGTGTGCACAGAGGCTGTTCCCTCAAGGGGGGAGGGTGCTTTCCCTCCGTGAAACAAAGCTGGGGGCTGCAAGGAAATCCCTAGTTGAGATTAGGAGGTATCTGGAGAAAAGGAGACTGGAGTCTGGTCCCCTGCCTGAATGCTTGCTGAGCGTAGAACACACTGGCTCCTTAGGTCTGGGTCTGGAGCAGGTGGGTGTGGTGAGGGCCAGGTGGCTCTGAGGAGGCAGTTCCAGGGACAGAGGAGTTCTGCTCTCCCCTGTTCCCTGGACCCGGAGGTGCCCTCAGGGAGGCCCGGGGCAGGCCATCTGTTCTGGGCTTTTCATCCACTGGTGGAGCCCCCTCTGACACCTTTGTCTACCTGAACACATGTCCCACCTCCCAACAAATAATGGGGTCTCCTAGGTCAGTGCTACTACCAGACAGGTCTCCGCCGAGCCTGCGGCGCTGGGGCACCGTCAACGCGGGGCTGTTCTCCAGAGTTTGGGCCAGGCCGTCCTACCTCTGCGGTGCTGGCCCCAGCCCGGGTGCTGCCCAGGAGCGAAGGGCCACCAATCGTGCTCCCCGGGTGCACTCCCCAGCGTGGAGCTTTCCCCCACAAACCAGAAGGTTCCAACACTGCCGCGCTGGACGCCTTCGCGTGAGAAGCTAGTAGTACGTCCTTGCTGTCACTGGAGGGCGACCGCGTGTAACGGGAAGGCAAAGCGCTGCCAGCAGCCGTCCGCCGCCGGGCTTCGCGAGGCGGAATGGGGACGGAGGCGTGGCTCCTACGGGCCACCCCACCCGACCCCCCGCCCTCCCCGAGCGCTGTCCACCCGGGCAGGGGACCCGCGAGCCCGCGCCAGCTCCTCGGGGCTCCCGGAGCCGCGCGCAGACGGGCAGTGGCACTTCGCCACGGCGGTGGGAACCCGTTTTTGACCTGAAAGCCTGTTTTTAGATGAAACGGTCTCTGAGGGCGAGGACCTGAGCCCCGAGAGAGGGGCGAGGACACGCGCGGGCGAGTGCGCCCGGGAGCTCAGGGCCACGGCCGAGGGCGCGCAGGCGCCGGGGCAGCGCGCGAGCCGAGGGCAGAACGGTTTCCTCGGAAAACCAGAGCGGTTCCGTGTGGTCACAGCTGGTACAGCTGGATAACAATTAAAATGACACAGGAACAACAGTAGCCGCGCTGCACGTGTCTGGGAGCTCGACGAGGGTTCCCTCTGGCCTGCGCACGTGCCGGGCACCGGCTCCCTAGCGCCTGCCCGGGACTCCAGAGGGCGTCGCTGTCACCTGTGGGTTAATAAACAGGGAAGAAGGAAGGACGGGACGGCGCTTCAGGAAAGCTTCAACCCGTTGTTCCCAGAGCCAAACCAAGGGACATAAAGATTTGAAGGCTGTGTCCAGTCCCAAACATCCACAGTGCGGAAGCCGAGGAACCCTGAGATGCGGGAATGTTGCCCACGTCTCCTAATGCTTTATTTCTTACCTCATGGCCGTTTTTCCAACAACTGTGCCGGTTCCTCTCGCCTCGGGGCAGAGCTGGGGTTTCAGGAACGCGGGGACAGCAGCGACAGCGCAGGGGGCTGCGGCGCAGGCCGGCCAGGCCCTGGTGCCAGCTCCCTGCGCGCTCTGACCCGCCCCGGCGTGCCAGGGGCCTTGGTCACTCACAGAGCCGGGCCGCTGAGACTCACCCAGAGGCTTGCTGTGTCGTACTCTGTCAACACTGGTCAAGAAGAGGTTTAGACAGCAGGAGTTGCCGGGCGAGTTGAAGAGTAAGGGAGAAATTGGCCCCAGCTCGTTGTCTAAGCAGGCAGAGGCCAGCCCGGGGCCTGCGAGCACAGGCGCTGGCACCTAACGCCGCTCGAGGGCGCTGTTCTGGCTTCGGAGCAGCACCTGGTAGCGCGGGGCTGCTCCCTCAGCTCGGCAGTGCGCATGCTCGTGTGCCATCCCCCGGTGTGTCCAGTTCACGACTGATACTGGTGCTGCCACCAGAACTCTTCACTAGTTACTATCGGAGGGATCAGGGGGACGCTGAGCCGGGGACCCCACTCTGCAGAGTTCTGTCCTAATGAGAAAACTGATTCCAGCACTGCCGAGCTGGCCAGCCAACAGCAAAAAGCGTACCCTTGGGCACACTTAGCAGTTCAGCATGTATAATTAATCGCGTGTATTATTTTATGCCCCTCTGGCCTGCAGAATGTTCTCTCACGCGGCCTTCTTCACCTCAAAATCAACTTTTACTATGTCAGAGAACTTCTGACCCAGTCATGCCACTTCTAGAAATTTCTTCCACAGAAACACTTCCACAAGGACACAAAAGAAGTGTAGGTGCTAGGATCTTCATTGCAGCATTGTTTGTACGAGTAGAAAATTAGAAAGAATTTAGACATCCCTTAGTAGGAGAATAATGAAATAGTAATAGTGGTGGTACCTCCATACTATGGAATTCCATGGAAGGAATGTGATAGAGTTATATGAAGTGATGCAAGAAGCAAACTGCAGAATGTAATTAAGTCATCTCACTTTGGTAAAAAAAAGTTCATAAGTATTTATTTTACATATATTTAAAAAGTGCTTAGGAGCACAAATAGTATACAAAATTCTAAAGAAAAATTATTTTAAAATTATATGTTTACATGAAAACAGCCTATGTATTAGTTTTATATTAATAATGAGAAAATCTGTGATTGTTTCTGTTGTTTTAGAAAAAAGAAATCAGATTTGGTTTTTTCCCTTAGCTGGTGTGAGTTGAGTTTTGTGTTACTTGCGGGTCCTGTTACCCTCCAGGGAGAGGGCTAATGCATGAGGCAGTGGCTTCTGGCAGGATTCTTCCCGAAGGCATCATTCTCATCCAGAAGTCAATCTTTTGGCCAGCGCCAGCTTTTCTGGACTGCAGATTTTGGTTTCATCAGGAAATGCTGAGCATATGCCGCTCTCATTTGCAGAGCTGGTCCATAGGGCAGCTCCTTTTGTGATAAGCGAGGCCTGGGGTCTCTCAGTCGGGAGCTTCTAAAGAGAAAGAGAGCCCCCTGGGAGATTTGTTCATCCCTCTCTATTCCCAGTACCCGGCAGGCAGAGTGCCTCGAGTGTTGATGCTTAATAATTGTTGAATGAATTTGTGGAAGCGAGCAGAAATACTTCAACCATGTCAGCTTAATGTTCATGTATTTTGGGAAAATAAGTTGTCTGTGAAAATGGCTCACAGTTCCTGGTTGATGAGTCCAGGGTTGTCTCCTGGGCTCCCCATTTTATAAAATGGTACACAGGTGGCCCTGCCACTGAGCAGCACATTATGACGTCTGAACACAGGAGCAGACGCTGTCCCAGGACCCAGAAACAAAAGCGAAGTGTTGCTCTGACATGTCTTAGTGATTTGCAGAATGCTTCTGCCCCGTGACAGCTACACATAAACATTAATCACCTGTGTAAATAACAGTAATTGGCGTTAGTGACCAAAACAGAATTAAGCACTTCTGGGGCAGCTTTGGGGCCAGGGTACTGAGGAGGGGCCTAAGTGGGTTTGGAGCCCAAATCCAGGCCTCTCCAGAGGCTAGCTCTCTCTATATTTCTGAAAAAGAAGAAAAGTCCCCAGCCTTGAGCTCTCACAGCTCAGCCGCACCCCCGTTTTCTGGCTAATAGTCTCCCCAGCCTCCGCCCTGACCAAAGAAATGTGCTGGCTCGCCCCGAAACTCAGTTCACAGATTCCACTCTTCCCTGTTCTCTGTGAGGTAAAAATGCTAATACAGATATTCAGAATGGAACTTGACAGTGGGGCCTGGTTAGTTTACGTCTAATGAAGAGCAAAGCCAAATGTGCAGTGACATGGCGCTTGTCTTGATGATGGAGCTGGGGAGTCTGGTTTGGGTCGCACGGGCAGCCCCTCCTTCCCCACCCTGCGCTCTCAGTCGCGTGTGCCGATGAGCTCCTCTTCCGCCTGGGCTTTCTGTTGCTCACCTTGGAAAGAGCCTTGATATAGAAAGGGTCATAAGGAATGGGGGATGGGGAGTCATCCTGGAGTACAGAATTGGCTGAGACCCTTTTATTCGTGGCTAGCAGGTTGGCCATGCTTGTTATGCAGTCATGAAGCAACTAACTAAATTGTTGCCACTCAAGCTATGTGTCTACCAACGCTGGAGAATTAGAGGGCTTAAGAGAGAAAGTTGATGAGCTCTTCTTGCCACTTTCGGTTACGATCCCATGTGAAAGAAGTAGACCATGGGGAAATTCTGACATGTGCTACGATGTGGTTGAACCTTGAGGACACTATCCTGAGTGAAATCAGCCAGTCACAAAGACAAGTACTGTATGATCCCACTTCTGTGCGGTCCCTAGGGTAGTCAAATTCACAGAGACAGACAGTAGAAAGATGGTTGTCAGGGGGCTGGGGAGGGGGAATGGGGAGTTGGTTAATGGGGACAGAGTTTCAGTTCTGCGAGAGGAGAAGTGTTCAGGAGATGGATGGTGGTGATGCTTGCATAGCAGTGTCAATGTCCTGAATGCCACTACCCTGGACACTTAAAAATGGTTAAGATGTAAATTTTATGTTATGTGTGTTGTAGTGCAATTTACAAAAAACACACACAGAAGGAAGAAAATATGGCTTTGTTAAGAAAGGTCCTTTCTGCCTGTGGCCTGCCATCAATACGCTGAGAGTCAGCCCTGGCACGTTGGAAAAGCAGAGTTATCTGCAGCTGAAGCTACTGGCAGGATGGGATCCCTTAGGGTTAATCGGAACACTGAGGCCTGTTCCAAGAGACAGACAATTTGAGGACAGATCCTAGAATCGAAGATTGCCCCTTGGCCAGATCTCTGGCTTTGTTACTGCTCCGTGGCATTAACTGGAAGCAAAAGGGCAGGATGCCCCTGAGATCCTAAGGGGCCTGAGCCGTCAGAGAAGCTGGCATCTGGCTCCCACAGGCTGAGCTTTGCTAACCCCACGGGTGATCTCCAGGCCCTGCCACACCAACAAGGAGTAGGCTGTGTGCCTGGCCTTGGGTGCAGACAAGACTCGCCCCTTCCCCATCCTCGGGAGGTCTTTCCTCACTCTCACACCCTTTAACGCCTATGGCCTCTCTCCCTTCCCTAGAACACCTTTGGGGCAACTGAGGGAAACCTTTGACTACACGGGATTACCTGCTGTTTGGAATCCTCTCGATGTGCACAAACGCAGGAACTCATAGCCCAGGCTTATTTCCTGGGCCACCATGTCATTGGCAACACTTCCCACAATTGGCTCTGGGATCTGAAAATCTCTTGGCCCAAGCCTCTTGACCGCCCGGCTGTCTCTGCTTGGAGCGATCCGTTGGGGTGTGCTACTTGGGGCCGAACATACAGGCTGCTCGTCAGGGCTGGGCGGAGCATGGACAGGCTTTTGAGTCATCACCTGGCCTGGGAGGAGAGCAATAGGAACGAGCTGAGGAAGAATCACACCACAGGGGACCTGTGACAAAGAACGAGACGGAGGTGTGGTCCTTACCTGCTGGGGAGACGCGTTCCAGCAAGAAGAGCCACGGTCCAGAGGGAAACAGAGATACGCTGTACAGAGGCGAGGCCCTGCCCGTGGAGAGGCGACTCTTCCCTAGAAGGCTGCACCCCTACTCTATAAAACCACAGTGTCTGCCTGAACCCAAAGAAGGAGGACCTTGAAGACCCTATGGCTCCAAGCACGCTAGTAGGTCATACGGTGATACTCGCATGGACTTGGCGATGAGAACTTGATTTTTTAAAAAATGTATTGCAAATTCACACATTATAATTATACATATTTATGGGATACAAAGTGATGTTTAAATGATTAAATCACACTTATTAACATATCCATCACCTTAAATACTTATTTTTTGTGGTGAGAACATTTGAGATACCTAATATGGTACATTATTATTAACTATAGTTACCATGCTGTGCAATAGAGCTCAATAAACTTATTTCTCCTGAAGGAAACTTTGTTCCCTTTGACCAACAACTCTCTCTTTTCCCCACCCACCTCATGGATTTGATTGTTAACAGCCAAGAGTAGACTCTGTGAAGGAGGATGTCCCAAAATATAACCATGCCATAAAACATCTTCTACCACCAGTACTCAGTGTTTCTTATTCTTGTCACGGTTTGACAAATTTTTTCACTTTATTAAGGTATGGACATTACAGGGAATTACTTATTTATGTTTATTACTAGAATTGATCTGTTCCTAGCTCTTCTGCTAAGAGCTAAGACCTCCCTGGCGTTCCACAGCAGCGTGAAGACAAGGGCAGTCTGGTTGCAGATCTTAGAGGATTTCACTGACTTCTGACACAGGCCAGGATTGGGGGGAAAGGCTGTGACTTTTCCAGCCCAGTCAACCCTACCCCTAACACTAACCCTAACATTAGAGACCTCTGAACGGGGCTGCTTCCTCAAGAGATGCTCCTGATAATGGACACCAAGGGTCACTGTCTTAGTTCGAGTTCCCCTGGAAGCAGATCCGGACACAAGGATTTTAGTGCAGGTAATTTATTTGGAAAGTGACGCCAGGAAGCATCAGAAGGGGAGCAGGAAAGCCAACGAGGGCGTGTGGGGACTCCGGGAGGCCTAGTTCCTACCTCTGAAAAGGTGCTGAAGCACGCTAACTGTTGGAACGCTCCTCTGGCCAGCGCCACCGCCAGCGCGCTGCTGTCACACCTTTGTTATTCTTTTTTATCTCAACTACTTACTGCAGGAGCCTCCTTGCTGATCTCCCTGCTCCCAAACTGCTTTGCGTCTAGCACCAAAATCGCTTTTCCTGAAGCATGTTGTGGTCGTGATCTTTCCCTGCTCACATATCTCTGATGCGTCCTTGTGCCTATGTGATGAAGTCTGAAGCTTTGGGCCTGGTGTTCCAATGAGGCACTGGCCTAGGAACAGGGGAGACAGCAGTGCCTGTCCCGTGCAGCTGGTCAACAGCTCAGGGATCACGCAATGACAGTAGGGTGTGGTAAGTGCTGTGGCAAGAGAGGTGGAGAGTGTTCTGAGAGCCCAGAGGAGAGGTGCCATGGTCCTGGGTCACAGAGGCTTAGGAGACAGAGACTTCTGGTCATGCACGTAATCCATTCTCCCCTTTTTCCTAGTAGAACTTCTGCATTATCAGGAGTGGCAATGGCTGCAGCTAAATACCAGCACACTCCTCAGACTTTCTTACAGATAGAAGCAGCCCATGGGAGGTAAGTGCAAATCATTGGGGCTTCCAGAAAAGCTCCTTAAGGGAGTCTTACTCAATAAGAGGGCTGCTCTTTCCCCCTTGGTCCTTCCTAACTTCTGCAGCCTGGTTTGCAGGTGTGATGGCTGGAACTACAGTGGCTACGTTGTGACTATGAGGGAATCTTGAAGGTGGATGCTACATACTAAGGATGGTGAGCAGAAAGTGTTGGTGTCCTCGATGACCTTGGAGCTCTCAATGCAGTCCTGGATTGATCACCTTCAGACTTCTTTTGTGTAAAAAAATGTAAACTTCTTAGTTTAAGCCACTCTTATTAGGGTTCTGTTATAGTCTCATCTGAATAAATGCAGCATCCCAGAGTATGTGTGATCTGAAGCATTAGCAGAAATTAGATAGGCAAACTAAGATGCAAGGGGGCTCCAGGGAGGGGTTAGAAGGACCAAGGAGGAAGTGTGTTCCAGGCAGAGGGGAGAGAATGTTCAAAGGCTTGGAGGAAAGGGACAAAATAGTTGGGTGTGTCTGGGCTAGCAGAGAAGGGGCGGAAGGAGAGGAAGAAGAACTTAGACGGTGAGGGACCTTGCAGCCTTGTGAAAAGTTGGTCTTAGCCCACAGGTAAAGGGAGCACTGAAACATGGGGAGGGTGCACTTTAGGAAGATGTGGCCAGTGCGGAGAGGGAGAGGCTGGATCGGAGGTTGCAAGAGTGGAGGCTGGGAGACCCCTCAGGAGGCAGCCGCCGTGCGCACACGGAGCTGGGATTGGATTGTACTTCGCCGGTGGCTGGAGGGATGGAGCGTAACGGGCAGACTAAGATTTTATATGGGAGACTTCATAAAAGTCGGTGTCAATGGGATTTGGAGGGAGAGAGCAGGTGGAGTGAGGATGGGGAAGTGTAAACTGAGACAGGAGTCAGGTGGGACGAGAGGGGGAGGAAAAGAGGTTCCGGGCTGGAGGTGTGCAGCCTGGGGTGCGTCCGCTGAGGCAGAGCAGAGGCCAGTGCCGGCCACGGAGGGGGCCCTGGCCTGGGAGTCAGACAGACACCCACTAACCGCACACCTGCAGGACGCTGCCTCCAGCCAGGTCCTTGACCTCTTTGATTCCAATTCCCAGCCTAAACTGGGGATGTTGTCAGCCAGTGCGTGTGAGAGCCCCGACACTTAGTAGATGCTCAATAAATGCTAATTGCACTTGCAACGTGGCTCCACTTGTTCCCTCAGACTGTGCTCTCTGTGCTCACAGCCAACGTTTCTCTCATTCGCCAAGGGTCTGGGGGCCAAGGCACAGCCCCACCCCTCTGCTCTGGCTCCAGGCAGCCCAGAGGAAGGCCGCTCCTCTTCTTTTAGACTCATGGCATCGTCCCTGTAAACTTGATTCCGTCTTAGATGAGCAGCAGGAGGCTGGGGAGGTGGAGCTGCGTTAGAAGCAGATCCGCTGGCTCCAAGACTGCGCTCCTGGCTCTACAGCATCCGCCTC